GACCATCTGGGGGCAGGTACGGCCCGGGTATGGGGAGCGGGGCGAGGGTCCAAACCATGGTCTGGGGAGCGGTTGGCTGTGCAAGGCTGTGAGGGTTGGGGGCACTGCCCTCCCTCCCAACCCAGAGCACTGGGGGGGCTGTCCCCTCCCTGGAGCATCGCGTCCTAACCTCTTGTTGGGCCACACATGCAATTCCTTGGCCAAGGGAATGAGCTCTGAAGATGCCGTGTTACAGAAAGTCTCATATTTCTTTTCATTTTTAATTGTTTGGACCAAAACTGCCAGGATGAGAAGAAGCTCTGGAAAGCACCCGGAATGCTGGTTTTGACTGCAGCGTCCTGGGAGCGCTGGCTTTCCTGCGCTCTGTGGGTTGACATAGGCAGGAGCTGCCTTCGGACATTTAGCAGCTGTAGGAGGTTTGATCGGTGGGAAACCATGAGGATGGTTGAAAGCAGAGTGATGGGGAGAGCACGGAGGCAGGGAAGGACACTGGAGAGGGAAAGCAGAGGCGAGGAGTGAGACTAGATGTGATAATCCTTTGGCATCATGGACTTGAAGTGATGCAGAACTCCAGAGGTGGATTCAAGTCCCTGTAGGGAGAAGCTGGCCTCCCTGGGGTTTAACTTCCAGCCTCTGCGTCTCTCACGGTGGTGAATATGTTCAGATCTGCCATATTCTTCATGCCCTGAGCAGCTAGAGGGGAGCTGTGGGATCATCTTCCAGTCCCACAGGCACCCACCTCGTAGCAAGCACTTGAAATCCTGCAGGTCCCTCTCCCCGGGACTCTGGAGAACAAGATGATGCTTCCCAGTGGTTTTTTTGTATGCAAAAAGTTCCCAAAGTTTCTAGAATTCCCACTTTGTCCTTCAGTAAAGCAACGTGCCCATGTAGCAAGTGAAGAGCAGTAGTGCTCTGTAGGTTTCCAGCTGTGTCAGAAGCTAAATGAATCCGTGGGGCATTGCCGCCGGCTGCAGCGTGTGAGGAAATGCTGACGGGGTGAATCTCCGGGTTTCTTCCTTTCTTCTGAAATAAGAACAGGTCCCACCAGATGGGCTTGGCGACTTGTGTAGAAGCTGCCTCCACAGAGGTGAACGGTTTGCCAGGCTCTGGTTTCTGTGCAGGGTTTATGATGGCCGAGTCTCCAGCTAGAGGACAGTGCCATCAACCTCTCCCGCTTCCTTCCAGGGACGCAGAACTTAGCGGAGGGACTTACTGGGGAGGAGGGAAGGTGGCCCAGCGCAGGCGGGCAGTGTCAGGCTGTCCCCTGCGCCAGCACGGCTCCTGACTCTTCCTCTTCCCGCAGCTCGGGGAAGACTCGGATTACGACAAGCTGAGTGATATGGTCAAATACCTCGACCTGGAGCTGCACTTCGGGATGCAGAAGCCTACGAGTAAGTACCCGAGCCCCAGAATAGGTCCTGGTACTGGCCGGAGACCGGGGCACTGGGAAGGACTGGGGCTCGGTGGGCAGCAAGGCAATGCCTGGTCCTAGCATCACCCACGGCACAGAATTCGTTCATACTCAGGATTTTGTGGCTGGTGGCACAGCAGATCATTAAGGTGGAGATTGTTTCGCTATCTCCCTTAATTTTCTTTGCTGCCGTTATCTGTTTTCTCTCTGCATTTCAGTCAATCGGGGCAGCAAAACTCAGCTGGAGGGTTTCGCTCCCCGTTGCGCTCAGTGCTGCTTCCCGGCTCTCACAGCGCCTGCCCGGCCGTCCCCGTACCGTGGGGCACGCCGGTGTGCCGGCACCGCTCTCCAGTGCCACGAGGGGCCCGGTTTGCAACACAGCAGAAGCTCAAACCTGCACCGCTTACTATAACGATTTGTGCACAGCCTCTGCTTGTTACGGTCCGTGCAGTATGGACTGTCAGCCGGGCCGTCGGCACGCACGGACACCGAGTTGTGCTGCGGTAGCAGTAACGGCTGCAAATTAGGATTGCAGCTCTGTTGCTTTGAGAACTCAGCCCTGAAAGAGCCATCAAAACATTTCTCTGTCCGTAGAGAGCATTACAAGCAATGCTTTTCTTTCTATGATTCTATTAGGACAAGAGGAAATGGCCTCAAGCTGCATCAGGGGAGGTTTAGATTGGATATTAGGAAAAATTTCTTCAGGG